AAATATGAAAATGTTTGGATTGTTTTTATTTTATAAAATCCTTTTTATATGACATTCATTATTTTATAATTTAACATATAAAATGCATTCATCCGCTGCTAATTGTTTTACCGCTGCTGTACATACATATTTCTTGTTGCTGTTTGTTTTTAGTGTCTTATTGTTATTGTTGCTATTTTGCATATTTTTTGCAATGGAAGCTCCTCGACAACAAAAGGCGGCCCGAAAACAAAACAAGAAGAGCAACAAAACTCATCAGGCTCATCTTCATTAACTTTGCTTTCCGTTCCCTCTTCCCCTTTCCCTTTCCCTTTCCTTCTCATCCCACTGCCAACCCCACCTCCCGAACATCTCCTTCATTCTCCTTCTCTGCTTCGTTTGCAAGCAAAGCTTACCCCCCCATTAACCTCGCCACTTTTCTCGGCTCCCAACTTTCTTGCATTGTCTCTGCAAAATGCGAAAAACAAAAAGAAAAATACTTTTGTTTACTCTTATGCCTGCGTTGCCTTGTATTGTTGTTGCTGCTGGCGACGTCTCTGCCGCCGCTGTTTACACAATTCCACAGCCGAAGTCCAAAAACAACAATAAACAATAAGAGAGAAGAGAGCCCCCCCCCAAAAAAAAAAATAACAAGTCAGAATTAATGCAATGCCCAAAATCTTTCGATTCAGTTTAAACCTTGAAATAATGTTATGATATATATTAAATGGACTATTTTTAATGTTTTTATTTTCAAAATACTGTAAAATATAATACTCCTAATACCTATCCTATATACCCTACATAAAGAAGGTACAGATAGTGTCCAAGCTGAAGAATTAGAAGAGCGCAGAAACAAAAGGGACAGCGAACTGCGAAATGTATAATGACCTTCAGTCGACGGTGCTGCCGGCGTCAACGTCAACGTAAACAGTGGGGCCATGGGCGGGGGCGGGAGGCTAAGAGTTTTAGAGGGGGCGGGTCAAGACAGAACACAACTTAATTTCTGGTATTCAGGGACATACATAATTCTCTACTGCTCTTTTTCTCCTTTCTCGCCTACGCACAAACATTGTAAACAAGTGAAATTGCTTCCTAGTTGTGAATTCACTCACAAGCTCAAGTACACTGAGCAAAAAATAGTATTTCAGTACAAGTATTAACAAAATGTTAAAGTTAAATAAAATCTTTTAAAAATTATAATGTAAATATAAATACTAAGAACAATTAATTTAATAAATTATTGATTCCCACCAAATAAATATTCTTCATTAGAATAAACTCCAATTTTCCCAAGTGTAATACGACTAAGTTCTGCCTGTGCGCTTGCTCTCTCTCAACTGTTCCCTTGCTCTCTCTCTCTTGGAGAGAGATTACATTGCCTGTCGCTCTCTACGTTCTCCTGTGCAAACAAGTGTTTGTTTGTGGCGCCGCCGTCGACGTCGGCAGATGTTGCAGCAGCGGCAGCGGCCAAGCCACCCTCACTAAGCATCACCCCTTCCCCAACACCAATACCCCACACCCTGCGCCCTGTCGAACTTTCTTATTTGATTACTCGCAAAAAAAAGAAAAAGAGTCTCGCTCTCTCTGTCAAATTGTGACAAACGAATTTGTACTAATTAGCATTTCTCATGCGGCCTTCACAGTGGGTCGCATCGATTAAAATGTGCCCTGCAAATGATGAGTTTGCATTTTATTTTGGTGGTGAGATTAAACAATGGCACACATTACGCATTGATTGACCAAATAAAGTTAATCAACAGTGGGTGAAACGACACGCTATCATTATTATGGGTTACAGTTCGAAATTTGTAGGATCATGTTTGAGAATTTTCTAGAGCTCATCCAGGACGGTGACTAATTTTTGATTAGATTTTAAAAAAACTTTGTTTGTATAAAATATTAAATTTATGTTAGCAGCTTTATATTTGATTTAATTTATGTACATACTTTGCTCAGCAAATATTGAGGCTATGACTTGTATATTTTCCGAGATTTACATGATTTCTAAATATAAAAGCTCTATGTATTTATTAATTGATTAAATAATTCAAGGAAAAACGTATTAGGTTTATTAAATATTTGGTTTTCTAGCAAATATTAGCAGCTATGATGATTTTTCGAACTATAACTACCACTTGATAAGATTACCAATTTAAGCTCTTATTCATTTACAACATAATCTTTAATAATTTTAATAAAATTTTTCTAAGACTGTGTCCCAGCCTTTTATTTCCACAATACGCTCCCTGCATTCCACAGTGCACGCCAAGAAGTAACGGGACAACAAAATTCGCCCAAGAACGCAAAACTAATGCAGCAAGCGCAACAGAGAGGGCAAGACAATGGCTTAGCAAATGAAAGAAAAGGAGAAGGCGGAGGCGCAGCGGGAAAAGAGGAAAAAGTTCGCACGTGAACAGAGAACTTGCGCACGAGAGAAAAACAACAATAATAAAAACGAAGACAAAAAGAACGCCGCCCACGCTGCCACCAAGAACGCAATGCACTTTGACAGAGGCTGCGGCAGAAGCGGTGACATCGGCAGAGCAGCGGCAGCAAGCCAAAAACAAATGCACACAGAGAGAGCAGAGCGAGAGTCAAGTAAGAACTGCCAAATAATAAAGGAATAGAAAAACAAAACGGAAAACCGTTTTTTTCCCCGTGCACAAATGCAATCCGCCTGCAAGGCAAAAGAAAAACACAAAACAGAAAGAAAACAAATATATAGTACAACTACAACTAGAAAATACAACTCAAGGCAAACCATTTGAGCAGCGCGGCAGCAGAGCGTGGGCAGCGACGCCGGCACAAGACGGAAATACCAAGCGAACGATGACGAACGTAAAAACTACGCACCAAGCACAAAAACAACACTAAAACACGCCACGAAAAACAAACAAACAACAAGCAGCAGCAGCAGTCGCCAGGAGTCCGGGTGCGGGGGGAGGGGGAACTACGATGACTGCGAGTGAGAGCGAGTAAGAGAGAGAGCAGAGCACCTGCCCCTACTGTACCCGCCCCCACTTGGCTAACGAGCAAACTAAACTAAACAAAAATAAATAGAAACCGAAACAGAAACAGAAGGAAAGCAACGATATAGAAAAGCAGGAAATATTTTGAACTTTGAGTCAAGTGGAGAGAAAATATATGTATATCACTGAATTTCTTATACATTAAGTATGTATGTATGTATGTAAATATCTTCATAATTATATACATAGAAATGCATAGTTATCCAGGACTTAGATGAGACCAAAAAGATTTATTTTAACAAATCTAAAACGCTTTTTAAAAATTAAAAATAAGCCGAAATCTTGCCAAATTAACGTCTAAATAATATTAAATATTTAAATGTAACATTTGTTTATCCTGCAGGGTATTATAGCTTAGTAACATAATTCTAAGGGGCCGGATGAGTAAATGGAAACATCTTTAGTAAAATATATAACATTTAAGAAAAGTTAATTGAAATTAAATTAAATTATTGACTTAATTTTATTCGCTTGCCGTGAATGAACCTTTCTTTCCATATCAAAGTAACACCATTTCGGTTTCTTTCTTTTATTTTATTTTATTTTTTTTTTTTTTTTTTTTTGCCTTAGGAATTTTACTACGACGTAGTACAAATATCGTTTCGGTTTCGTTTTTGGCGCGAAGTCGGTTTTGATTATTATTGTTGTTTTTTTCGGCGTTTTTTTTGCCTTTTGTGACGACCTCCGTTCGTTCAACTCGGTTTTTGCGCTGAACCGCTCCTGTCTACTTGTTTGTTTAATTTTTTGCCATTTCTGCTTCACATTTTATTTGTTTGTTTGACTCGGCTGCTCGCGTGTGTTGGTGTGTGTGTGTGCGGCCCAAGAAGCGGTCTTCCCCCCCCCACTGTCTGTCTCTCATTCCCTCTCAGTCACTACATCTCTACATCCCCCTTCTCCAACAATTCACCACCCGTTTTTTGTTGTTGCTGCCGCCGTGTTTCTTTTTCTCTTTATCAAAACAACTGCGCTGTCGACGCCGGCATCGCAGTCAGCCTTCATACAGCAGAGGTCGCCAAAGATGACAGTAAAATAAGAAAAACAAAAGAAATCAGGGAATTTATGCTCTCTTACTGCCGCTGTATTCGGGTTTGTTTTTTTTTATTAAATTTTGACGGAATTTTTATATTGTTAAATGCATATTTACTTACACTTGATTAGGAAATAAAAATGTGTGAAAAAAGCTGTCAAAACACTAACGTCCAAAGAAACATTTCGAATCCGATTGCTACTGTTTTGACCACCACTGTAAGTCTGCTTTTGTTTTTCGTTTTTGGCGCGCACTCTCTCTCTCAATCCCACCAACTCTCCCGCCTCTCGCCTCCCGCTTGCTTCCCTGGCAACCCACCACACGCCCCCCTCCCGCTTAGCGGACTCTTTTGTTGTTGCTTTAAGCATGACAAAGCACCGTAGAATTTCACAACAGGCCAAAGAGAACTTCATTACGATGTTCGTTTTGTTTTTCCACGAAACAACTGTTTACTCTGCTTCTGCCGCTGCCGCCGTCGTCACCGCCGCTGTGTGTTGTGCTCATTTCAATGCTCTGCCAGCGCCACTGTCAGCGACACTGTCGACGCCACAGCCAAGGAACAGTGGGGTTTTTGCAACCTGAAAGTGGGGATTCGGTTAAAACGAAATGGTGATAAATATTACTTCTCCTTGAACTAACAAAGGCTCGAATAATGCAATATTAATTCGTCTTATTGGAAATAGATATAATAAACAAAATTAAATAAAACAAAATAACAAACTATTTCTCAAGCAATTACATTTAAAATTAAACATTTTAACTTTAGATCAAATAAATCAAAGTGACAAAATTAACTCAAACATCAACCATATCCACAAGAAAAAATGTCTTAAAAATTATACTCACCAGATTTGATCGCCACATTTAGGTTCATATCCCACTGTGCGATGCCGTGCTGCCTCAGTCGCAGTCGGTGCGTTTACAAATCGATGCCAATAGGTTTGTCGGTGTTTGTCGGGAAACAGACGCAGACGCTAGCAGACGGTGCTTGCGAGCGGTTGTAATACGAATAACGGTGAAGCTATAGTACCAATTGCGCGCGTAACGGAATACGAATACGGAATACGGAGCAGTGTAAAAGCGCAACAGCGCCTCCGAAATAGCGGTAAATAGTATTGTGTGTGTGTGTGGCTACGAGAGAGAGCGGGATAGGCAATGTTTGTTTTGGCCACATCCTCCTATTCCTCCTCTCTCTTCCTCATTGTTTGTTAAACAAATAACGGAACTGCGAATGTCAGTAGCAAAATTATATCTGAAATTCAAGGAAACTGAACGGAATCAAATCGAAATTAAAACAGGAACAAAGAAGATTTTAATTAGAACAAAAAGTGTGTTTAGCAAGTTTTAAGTGAAACACGACAAAAGGAATATAAAAATTACATTTCTTATCAAAGTTTGTTTGAAGTTAAATCAAGATTCGAAAGGATAATAAAAATTGGAGATGTGCAAATAAATAAATTAATGGTGAAGGTGAATTTAAAAACAGAAAAGATAAAAATATAAATTAATAAGAACTGAAAAACAAAAATCCTGTGTTGTAAAAATACGAATCTGATGACAATGTTTTAAGTGTTCAAAAACTAATCCTGAATTTACAAATGGAATTTTTTAAAGCAAATTAATATCATATGAAAAATTCTTTCAACAAATTATTTTTAAAATTAAAACTGCTCAAATTAAAAACAGAAAATACATAAAGGAAAATCAACAATATAAAGGATATCTTTTTAAAAAGAAATATTTTAAACACTCTCGTGTAAACCCCTCAACACTTACGAAAATAAAAACATTTCTAGTTGTGCAATGAAAAAAAAATGTTCAAAACAATAACTAAAAACCGAAAAACAAACAAATATTTCAGAAATTGTGGTTTTTAAAAACCACGCATAAACAGAACCACTGAGCAAACAAATAAATATTTCACAAAAAAAGTGTTTTTTACAAATTATTTCAATACGCGTTATAGCATGTGTGTGTGTGTTTGTGTTGTGTGAGCGATTGTAAATTGTTTTTTATTTCATGCCCGCCGCGCGCCTTGAAATGTATTTTTAAGTTTCTGTGCTCAATTTCGTTTTTGGATGTTGTTTACTTTTTGCGTTGTTTAATTTGTTTCGGCCTCTCCGCCTTCATCGTCTTCTTCTGCATTCAAAAAAAAAAAAAAAAAAAAAAAAGAAATGACAAAAGACGAAAACAAACTAAATTGTGGATAACATGGATTTTATGCAAATTCAACGTTTTCTGATTCAGACCGTTTTATTTTGGCAGCGTTTTTTAACGAATTCAAAATGGTGTGATGTCTGATGAAAGAAGTTTGTAAATTAAATTGGGCAAATAATAAAAAAATCAAGAGACTGTGGAAATAAAATGTTTATCTAAAAACGGTATTACTTTCTACAATAAAAAGTGTGACCAAAAGCTATTTAAAAGTATAATTAAACATTGGAAGCAAAATCGTAAACATATTTATGTAATGGAGTTACAAATAAATAAATTTATATTAAAAATAAATATTCATAAATTTGTAATTCAATGATTCAACAATATAAAGTGTAAGCAATTCCAATTAAAATAAACTCAGTCCCAAGAGAACACATTAAAGCTCTTAAACACACAAAACATCATTTAAAAATAAACTTCCTATATAAAAAAAACCAGCTATCTAAGCAATTTCACGTGATTCACATTCACATTACAAGACAATAAAAAAAATACGTTGACATTTCAAAGTTCCTGATAAAAATCCCAACTCACCTTTACCGGGAATCAAACAACAAATCAAATCTCCCGGGACAAATGAATTTTAGCATGCAAATGATTTTAGTGAAAAAAATAAAAGACCCACAAAATCTATAAACGCAATCAGTAAAAAATAGCAAATAAAAAAACAACCGCAGACTTCCAAGGAAATCCCCCAAAACTGTGCTACTTAAAAATACAACGAGGCCGAACAGACAAAATGCATGGGAAAACCAAAAACGTAGCCAAGCAATAAATAAAATAAAACGATTGTTAAAAAATTCCCAATTTCCAAGTAATAACGGAAAATAATTGGAAAAACACCTAAAGCCAATGTGTGTGTGTGTGCGAAAGTGCGTAAAAAAGCAGCGTGGCGTAAAAAACAAGTTCTAAAAATAGACCAAAATGTGTCGCGTCTAAAAATTGACGCAGAGTGTGGCGCAAACAACAAAAGCAAACAACTAAACATTTAAAAAAAACAACGCAAGGCAAATAAAACAAGAAAACCACACGCAAAAACTGAACTAAAAACAAATTAAGGTTTTTTCCCTCTTTTTCTCTCTCTCTTTATCTATGTTCCCTCTCTTTTCCAACTCCTGTGTATGTGTGAGTGCATGTGTGCGCCATGAGTTTACCGTTATGATTCATCCAGCTGTTTGCGCAGCGTCGCAATCTGCGCAAAAAGAAATATTTCTCGAACTTTGTCGCAAAGAAAAAATAAATAAAAACCGATTACTAAACAATTTATTTCATGAAATTATGTGTGCTAAATTGTGTGCTAAAACACAAAGGCATAAGGGTACAGTTGCGATCAAATTAATAGCTCTAGAAATTCGAATCTCTTATGGAATTTACAGTTATGAAGCTTTTATTAGTTTCAGGAAGTTAAGAAACTTTTATAAGCAGTTTGTTTGTTGGGTTTAGTAGAAGATTTACCTAAAGTTGATTTAAAAAAAAATTCTATTATTATCTTTATTTAATTATTCATTTTAATGGCAGTATTTTATTTAATTTACATATTTCATTTGGAAACAAAGCTTTACAGGCCTTTTATAATTTAAGTTTCGTTAGAAATTTACGAAAAAAATCGCAAATCGTTTTGAACTCTATTACCTTTTTGAAAAGTTTTGAAAATTTTCAAAAAAGTTCTTGTTGGGCGTCACATCTCATAAAGTGATCCTCAAAATATTTCACGATCGCCACTCCTTTGTGTATTTTTCTAATATTAACCCGTTATTTGGTAGCTTTTCGAAATCTTTTGTATCATCTGACAAATCGTATCTAGAGTGCTTAGTAATTTAGTGCTAATATTTTGTCCGCCTTTGTTTAGTGTAAATACGTACGACAAGTGCTAAAACGTAAAGCAAATTGCGCTCGACGCCCGAGAGACCAGGAAGCGAAAAAAAAAAAAAAAATTTACGTTCGACAAAGATTGATGTAAAAGCGAGATGCCGCATAGTACGCGTCTCTTACTTACGTTAGTGTTGGTGCGAGTGAAAGCGCACGTGTCCCTGGTGTAGATTATGTGTGCTAGTGTGTGTGTGTGTGTGTGCGAAATACACTTCCGTCTATTGTGAATGACGAGGCGCGAGCAAAGTTGCCTTGTTGCCATCTTTGTTATCGTTTGTTGTTGCCTTCTGCTTCTGTTTTTCTGTTGACTTGTGACATTTACACGCATACACAAACACACACACACACACACTTACACCTTTTCTTGACAGAATTTTCTCCGCTCGCACAAATTGCGACATTTTCGTTAAACAAAAGTTGCACGTCAAAATGCTAATTCCGATCAGAATCTGCTTTATCATCCACTGCGGGACTTTATTCCGAAGCAAAATCTAGATTTTTATTATCAGTGGCATTCCCAGAATTTATACGAAGGGGTCTAAACATTTTCTCGGTGGGTAAAATGCCATATGTTATTTTAATAAAGTAACAAAAAAAATATCAAAATAATGATCGATTAGTCTTAAAAAAAACTAATGGTTTTGTTTGGGTAGATATTGGATATTTATATCTAATAATACAAATTTAGTGAATTTAATTTTTGCATTTCCGGGGTGAAATATATTAAAATTGATTAATAGAATCGGAAATCGATCAAAATAATCTTAAATATTCGCGCTTTTTAATCAATTATAATTGAGATTTTTATATTAAAATTTTAGAGTCAATTTAAAGTTAAAAATCTCATAGTTAAGCAATAAATTTATAAATTTAAATCCAGAATGCTTTTCTATATTAGTATTTATTATGTTTATAAATCTGCAAGCTCAATTTAAAATATCAAAAAGTTTTTTGAAAATTGTAACGATGTAACCCCTTATAAATTTTGAAAAAAATTGAAAAATTTTGTTATACTGCCTGGTAATACCTATAAATTCCTATAATACCCTTCAAGAGTATAGAAATGATCAAAATCATGATCAGTTTTCTTTTACAAAAGAAAAGTCTTTATATTTTCGTTAAAAAAATTAACTTTTATATATAAATGGATTTTAAATATATTTTATAGAACTCGTACGTTTGTGGTTCTAATTTTATAGTCATTCCATTGTTGCAAATCTAAAAAAAATCCTCTTAGATCCCGCCACTGTATACTTGCTATATAATACCTATATAGTGCCACTGACCTAGGCAGACGATGACGTGTTCTGTAACTGATTATACAAAAAAAAATAAATAAAATTAAATTAGCTATGGAATTATAAAAGGGGAATAGCTGAATGGAAAAAAGCTTTATGCGATTGTTTTTACTGTTTGTCGAGATTACAAATGTCGATCATTTAAAGTTCAATATAATGGCGTAGAATCATTAGATCGTTCTGAAAACAACGCAATATACATACTTATATCGGTTTCGGGTTTTTCCTTAAGTATTTATTGGATGACATTTAAAAAATAGCACGTCACGCAACTTTTGTGTATTTCATAATTTTGCGTCACACTCAGGGTTCAGATAAAATTTCAGGTATAATCTACCCTTGGAGAGGTATAGTGATAGTCTAATAAGTATAACCAGATAAGCTTGAGGTCGTCGTTTATTTTATTATTATTTTATTTTGTGTTTGTAGGAAGTACATTTTATTAAGCAATGCTATATAAGGTATGAAGTTGGTGCTTAGCTTTCATTCATTGTGAAATTAGGTGAAGGATTGATAAGATATAGTCATTAATGTTCTCAAGAATATTCTTTACCCTAAAACTATATAATGTAAGAATTGCCAGCTTTGTAACCTTTATATATAGCAAACAATTAAGGTTCATAAATATTTGCTAGATTCATTTGCAAACATTCCAACTCAAATGTTAGAATGTTCAATGTACCCTTCCGTATTTGTAAATTCCTGCTAAATGTTTACATAAAATGTCATTTGAAATTTCGCAATAGACTTTCAGTTTATCAATTAGATGTCAAATCAAATAAAAATTCCAGCAATTAACAAGTCCAACTAACTGCTACCGATACAGAGGCCTATTTCCAGTTCGTTGATGATCGATTTCAGCCTTTTGGGTTTTTTTGGCCATGCTTAGTTTGTTGTCTTAAAAAATTTCCCCATTTCTGATTAACACCTCGCCGCAGCCGTCGTCGCACAAATAAGTTAACTGAGCAAAAAAATAATAGTATAAATGACCAATCGGACTTGATTGCCACTCACGTATTTGGCCGCAAACAGTTCGCTGAAAAATGTTTCTCTGTTTTCGAGTGGTGAATGGTGAGTGTGTTGTGAATGAGTCACATTATCACATTATTGTTTGCCGTGCGGGAAAAAACCCTGCGTCTGAGTAAACAGAACGATAAAATACCCAGGGTATTAACTGAAGTCAAACTTGTTTTCCTAGATTTTTTATTGTATACATATCATTACATTGCATTTCCTTGAATGGAAAGTTTAATTCACATTTTTTAAAGTGGATGAAATACAATCGTCTAGGGGTTAGGTAAATTAAATGGTGATCAGACAGGGGTACAAAGATCTTTATCTTTTTATATCTTTATAATATGATATTATAAATATATATGATTTTATGTAACCAAAACCTTTGAAATAATGAGCAAAAGAGAACAATTTTCATGTGCATATAATTTGTTGTTGCAAGCTCAAGAAATTTTATTGCATTGTTTTGTACAATTAACATATTTTCATTAAAATAATATTATTTTAATATATATTATATTTTAATAATATTATTATTGCAGCTTTCAACATATGTATGTATCCAGGAAATCCGAAAATTAATTGAGCTCTATATAGGTCATATTCCCCATTGATTTTTTGACTTTCTAACATTGATTTCTTCTGATTATTTTACTTTCTGAAACTGTCAACTATTTTTTACCAAAATCAGTAAATTATTTAACTCAAAATTTAATACTTATCCCAAATTTTTCTTTTATTTTTTAACAGTAAATGAAAAGTAATACACGCAGTGCTCAATGAATGAGAATGAGACGCAGTCGACAGGACCCAAAAAGACGATGTTGATTGAGTGCATTTCGCGTGACATTCCCTGAAAGATACTTCAGAAGCGCCTAGATATAATTATAAGGATAAAAGGCTATCAAAAATAATAGCTATAATAGTGTATAGGGAGGCAGGCAGCATCCACAAATGAACTTCAATCCGGCCAGCGTTGTAGCCGCCGCAGCAGCAGCCGCCCATCAGCATCCCACAGTGCATCATCATCATCATCATCATCCTTATTTAAGCCACCATCAGACACTGCAACACCACTCCCAGCAGCAGCAGCAGCAGCAACATCAGCAGCAGCAACATCAGCAGCAACATCAGCATCAGCAGCAGCAACATCAGCAGCAGCAGCAACAGCAACAGTTGCTGATACCACTGCCCGGCGGTGCTGGAGGCGGAGGTAGCATCCCAGCGGGCGGTGGCGGTGGCAGCGGCGGTGACACCTCACCCAAGATCATGGAGTGGACCAATGACGATGCTTTGGAACTGATTGAACAGTATCGCTGCCATACGGAACTATGGAATCGCGCCGATCCCAAGTACAAGGATAAACTATGTCGCTTCCGTGCCTGGTCAGAGATCGCCGAGCGTTTTGGCTGCAGCAAGGCGGAGGTCGAGCGGAAGATGAATGTGCTCTTAACCCAATATCGGCGGGAGAAGCACAAGATGTTCGTGAAGATCTATCAGGGCATTCAGCCCAATCCGTCCAAATGGTATGCCTTTAAGCGTTTCGATTTCATGGAAGCCGGCGGCGGAAGTCTCAGTGGCGGTGGAGGTGGTGGTGCTGGTGGTGGTGGTGTGCCAGGTGTTAATGCCACCGGTGGCAGTAATCTGGTGCCCAATCCTGTCTCCTCATCGGCAGCCGCTGCCGCTCATAACGGGTTAAATGGACTCGCAGCAGCCGCTGTGGCAGCAGCGGCCTACGAGAGTGGCACCATTGCGGCGGCGGGCAACGGCGGTGGTGCAGCAAATGTGGGTGGCGGAGGTGGCAACGGATCACAGCCCGGCATGCAGCACAGACGCATCAAGACCAAAGAGATGAAATATTTTGGAACGGTGAGTAATGTTTACTTTTGTTTTGAATTATTAAGTTTATATTTTGTGATTAGTCAGAAAATGTTTCTGAAATTCGAAATCAAGATTGAACATTAAATTTTAGGAGGGGAAATTAAGGATTAAGAAATTCAAAGCAGCATGTTAATGTTTTAGTTTCCTAATCCTTAATTATATATATATATATTATTTGTTTTCACAAGATTTTCGATAATTAGAATTTCCAATTTATAAATATAAAATTCTAATACAAGAAATGCTTATATAAATTATGTATTTTTTAAATTAAAAATTATAATAAAAAAATGATACATATGAATAAATTGGATATATTCGAATTTCTTAAATAAATATGCGGGAAAATTAGTAGGGAAATGGAAAATTAGTACCTTGTGCATATATATATATTTTTTTATATTTAAAAAAAAAATGTATATAAATTTTTATAAATAATATCCCGTAAAAATTAAGGGAAAACAGAATTATATATAATTTAAATTCAAATTTTTAATAAAACTATCCAAGGAAAATATGAGGAATATTAAAAACAGTGCCAAGTGTATTTTTTTATATTTAAAAAAAATTATATATATTTTTTTAAATAATATTCTGGGAAAATTAAGAAAAAACGATTTTAGATATAATAATATAAAAATTATATTGAAATATCTAATAAAACTCTCCAAGAAATATATGAGGAATATTAAAAGCAGTGCCAAGTGTATTTTTTAATCCTTAGTCCCTATAATTAAATTATAATTTTAAATAAATATATTTATATTTAGTAGGATCAAAAAATTTCAAAAATTTCCAAATTTTCCTGTTCTTCATTTCCTGCAAAAAGCAAAACAATTAAAATTCTTTGCAAAAAAATATATGTACAATAGGTTATTAACTTAATCAAAAGGTAATCAAATTAACTGGAATTGATTACAAAAAAATATCTTGTCAGCCATATAACGAGGAATCATTAATGACATATTTTTATTTCATTGAGTAAAAAAAACCCTTATCAATTGGTTAAACAATCAAAGTCCAAATCGAAAAATGATGAAAAATTAACTAGAATTAAAACATAGCCTTAACCCTAGAAGGTCAATAAACGAGCGATTAAAGGGGATTCCAAGCATTTTATATAATCATTATGTTTAAATAAAAATGATTTACTTTATATTCAAGCTAAAGTCCTTTAACCTTTCTATAGAAAAATATTTGATTTGTTTGTATTTTAGATTAAATATAATTCTAAGGAAATACCATGTAACACGTGTGCCTTAATTTTTGCTTAGCAACCGAAATTTCCTCTTTATTTTGATTGAATTTATTTCGCCTCTTATCAATCGAAATTTTTGACAGACAAGTGAGGAAATATATAAAAACGTTCTAGTGTTAATTTCAATCAAACAACTTCTCGAATTAACTGTGAAATCAGCGAGAGGGGGGAGCGAGAGTTGTACTGCATGGAAAGAGAGAGAGAGAGTGCGCCTGCTCCAAAGAGAGAGTGACTTGCGGTTGAGCATAAGAGAGAGCAAGAGAAACCGACAGAAAAAACATGTGCGCAAGTGACTTGCTGTTTTCTGCACCAGAGCGCCAAGCTCCAGCCACTCTCGCTCTCTCTCTCCCAATAACAGCCCCTCACACTCACTCACTCTCTCTCTCTCTGGCATTCGTGTGCGCTTGCTTGTGTGCTTTTTTGTTGTTGACGATCAAAACAGAATTAAAATTTTACGCATAAATTTTTCTTAGAAATGCACAGTGGTGTGTGTGTGAGGCATTGGCCCCAGCTCCCCCTCCCTCAATCACCACCCCTCTCGCCCTCACTCGCACTCTGTCTGTCTGCTTGTGTTGTTGGTATTTTTGTTGTTTTTATTTGCGTTGTCGCGCCAGGCAAGCAAAGTGTACGAGTGGGAGGGGGAGGAGGTGGTGGTGTGTATTGGGGGGCCCTGACATTTCGTCGCCGCTCTTCTTTTCTTCTTATTCGCCTTCTTCTTGTTATTGTTGTTGCTCTGTATGATGAAATGTTTGTTTTGCACGGCGAAATGTGTTGGCGACGGCGACGTCGACAGCGGCTGAGGCAGCGGCAGCGACGCTTGCTACACTTGCTACAGCGATTTTTGTTTTTTCTTTCATTCGGGTCTCCATTTGGTACCGTTTGTTTTTTTTTTTGAATACACTTACTGAGAGGGTATAGTAATTATTTCAGAAGACATAATTTGTTTAAGGATTAACGGGTAGGGTATTAACAGAGATAAAATTTGCCATAGATGTTACAAGAAAACTTGATTTATAAAATTTTTATTTTAAAATCCAAAAGGGTATATAACTCGGGATCTAAGACAGTTAGGGCTACCAATTTTGGTATGTGGACTTAAGAAAGGAATATAAATGTTAAAAATATTTAACAACTGTATTTTTTTTTTAATTACGGAGATAAGAAGATGGGATATAGATACATAAGTATATCTTTCATATACTAAACTAAACTTTAATTCTATTATTACAAAAATAAACAAATCTCAAAAAATTAAAAGCTATAGCTACCAATTTTTGTACATAGGGTTGTAAAAAGAGGCAACTATAAAAATATTTGTTTTACAAATCGGAAAGGACTTAAATCTCGGGATCTATATCAGTTACTAATACCAATTTTGGGATGTGTACTTAGATGACAAATCTAAATGAAACTAAATTAAATTAAATCTATTAAATAATATTTATTGTTGAAGTACAACTGTATTTTAAAATTAAGATATGACATACAAAAAATTACCTAATAAAATATTCTCTATTTAAATATTATTATTCTATAAATTCCCCAATCTTAAAACCTACAAAAACTAGAGCTATTAATTTTAGGATGTGAGTTTTAACGAAAACACTAATTATGAATAAACATTTTTCTATATTACGCCAATCTGGAAATTATAAATTAATATAATCAAAAAAATTAACTAAATTTCTGGATATACAAAAGTTAAAGCTAAGAAATTTTGGATTAAGAATTAAAAGAAAAATCTACGTTTTTATAAAATTTCATTTCCATTTCTAAATAAATGTTTTTTAAAAAGTTGAGTTAGAAATTTTTAAGCTTAGTGGAGTAAACTCTTCTAAGACTAATGCATTTTATTATTTTGATTATCAATTAAACATTTATCTTTTATTTCCTTTATTTTGACTATAATTTATTTATGTTTAATTAATTTTAATTCTAGTTGTATGTGCTGATGTCTCACTTTAACAAATAATTAATTTTACTAACTACTAGTAACTTTTGAGTCTTGAAAACTTTGCTTTAGACGTTAGGGAGGAGAAGGTCCTTGTTTTTATTGTTGCTGTAGTGACGTTTTTGTTTTGTGGTTACCACCCCCACCGCCACCCCCTTGTATTCCTGACCCCCCTCTTATGTTTTGCTGTGGCGGCTCTGGTTTGAGGGGGAGGGACGTCCTTGTCCGGGCGTGATTCGTTCTTCGTTGGAAGCTTTTGTTTTTACTTGGCGCTCTGTTGTTTGTCAGACTTATCAAAACAAAATGCCAGGAGTTGTTGTAGTTGTTGTTGTTGTTGGTGAGATGGTGCTTCTTCTAGCCTGTTTTCGTTCGCTTTTTTGCTGCTGCTGTTTTTCTGGAAAACAAATGAAAATTTTTACCAAGGAAAAGAGAATATAAAACTTGGCGCCTGGACTTTTTGTCGGGTTTTTTGTTTTTCGCTCCCCAACATCGTGGGAGTGGGTGGTATTTGGGGGCGTGGCCCCGGCTAAATGCATGCAACTTGTTTGTCCAAGTCATGTCACCTTTGCTTTCTGGTTTTGTGGTTCCCATAAGGCTTTTTGACATTTATGGCCATCTGAATAGTGACAGGCACTGACAAGAAATATAACAAAAAAGTTAAAAGATAATTATTAAATAATTAAATAAATAATAAAGAATAATTCATTTTATTTTTTCATTATTAAAAGGTTTTTTAACCGAATAAAACTTAATTAAAAGTTCAAAAATAGTTAATATATAATTAAATAAATAATAAAGAATAAATCATTTAATTGTTTAAATATTAAAAGGTATTTAAACCGAATTAAAATAAAGGGTTCTAATTTTCTTATTTTGTTTCTAAAATTTACTTAATTATATTTTATACTAATAGTTAACTTGAATTTGGGTTTTAAAAAGGAATTCAGAACTTCAGGCATTCTCGTAATCTTTATTTTAGAAAAATTAATATAATTATTAAAGCAAGGCATAAAATAATCTAATATCATTCTTTTTAGTGGCATTTCCCCAAGAAAGCTAATAAAGTTTTATTTTAATATTTAATTTAAAAATTTCAATGATTAATTAACTCAATCGAAGCTTATTAACTAATTTGAATGCTAAGGATTTATTTCTGCTTAGTTTGATGAAGATTAGATTGGTTCTGACCAGACAGCTGGCTTTTTTTTTTCTCCCATTTTTATTTCCTATAATTTCCCAGTTTTTCTTTTATTTTCTTTTTTTTTGTTTTGTTTTGGCTTTAGTCTCGTGTTGTAGTATTATTTCTTTTTTTTCTGTTCCTGCGTCATTATTATTTGCGTGTGCAGGCACCAACAAAGCCGCCCACGCCCACTTTTTAGACGCCGCCCACCAACGGATTTACCACCCTCTCTCCTCCCCCGTCGAACGCCCACTAAAGCAGCCCAACACCCATCCCCCCTATATTGTTATGTATTTTTGTTCATATTTTGCAATTGTTTTGCTTCTGCAGTATTTTCCTCAAGACAAGTGAACAACAAGAAACCAACAAAAACAATAAGAAGAAAACAATATAGTTGCTATTGTTGTTTTGTTGTTGTTATTGTTGTTGTTTGGGTTTGTTGTCCCGCAATGTTGTGGCTAAGCTAGCTAGACTCACGCACTGCGACCCATCTGCCACCCACCGCCCCCTGTTAAGATCCCACGCAACCTTCAACACTGGCAAAAAATTAACTTGTGAAATTAAATAATTATGATTAAATAATATACAAAAAATAGAAT